TACACATAGTTTGAATAATAATTTCCATGCAAAGGAAAGATTTGCAGGACAAGGATGAAAAAATCCAAACCTGCAAGCAAATCTCTGTGTCTCAGGTACCTACACTATTAGGATTTGTGTTCACACAGCAGAGGTCTCTGTTGGAACATTAGTAACCCATATTTGACCAGACCCATATGGGCTATGTCATTGTGAGTTTTAAGAATAGAAGATGGTGTCTAAAGAAGTTACTGCTGTTGCTCTTAGTCAGAACAGCACTTATGTTAGCAGAGTTGAGTCATTTTAACTGATGTCAGTATGGGTTTAGTGAATGCATTTGTCTCAGCAGGGTGATCCAAATGCTGTTTTTACCTGGGCTGTTTTTTTAAAAGTTACTTTGAAGTTCTGAATAAGAGCTCAGTAACACCTTTATTATAGCATGAATAAAGAGAGAAAATAGCTCTCATATAAAACATAACAATTTCAGGAATGCTAGAGTAAGAATGTATGGGTGAGTGTGTGCTTTTGTACCTGCAGAGCAAATATCCCATCCTCCCTTTCTGACCATATCAGTACAAGGGGGAATTGGCCAGACCCATTTTCCTTGTCTTACCTTATGGATTTCCACGTGATCTCTCTTGGTCTTTGAACTGCCAGGCATAGACAGCTAAATTAGTACCATCTAGGAAACAGGACTGTTTATATCCTCCTCACTCTTAACACTCCTGTGCAGTCTGAGCTGCAGATTGACCCCTATTGATCTGATTTGACTACACTTCTCTGGAGTAGACAAACAGTGCAGTAGAATTCAGGGACCCTAATTCACAGTACCTTATTTAGGTTCCTGGGTAATTCTTATTTGCATTAATCACATTCATCAGCAGAACCTGAGGCTGCCTCTTGGCTTTTATGCATTCCTGTTCCTGACAAGGGAACAAAATGGTATCTGCATTGAAAAAGGACTGTTTTAAGAATATTGATACTTGATAGTTGCAAAACTTAACTATTAGAAAGAATACTGTTTTTCAAATCAATGGCTCACGCATTACTGTAAAATATATCGATTAAAAACAAAGCTTAATGTTAGTCATTTAGCCAGCAGAGTGATGCAATAGTGAAATAAATTTATCCTTTGACTTTTACATTAACCTTTTATTGACTGCTTGCATACTCATAATTAACACACACTTTAGCTAGCTTGGTTAATTCTAGCATTGTGATCAGTGTGCTCTGATGTAGCTGACACCCTGATCATCAAAATGTCAGTGCAGCCCAGGGAACCATAACCAGGCAAGTGTCAGTCTCACTGAACAGATACACCTGCCCATGGAGATGTTAGCCAGCTTCCAGGGAAAGTGTCATGTATTGCCATGCAAGTGGTCATACAGTCATACAAATGTTTGTCATCACTTAGTTGAGCATATATTAATAGTTCTTGGTCCATATTAATGAGCAAAGTCCGTTTGGAAAAAACAGGCAAAAAGGGAATCAAAAATCTGTGAACTTTTTACAGGGTAGAGGTAGCGAGAATGTGCACTGCAACAGTAACTAATTGTTCCTTAAAAATGGGCTTTTTTAATTGAAACTGCCACGAATCTAGACTGTTTTAGTAAGAAAGCAGAGACTATGGAGTTTTGTGCATTCTGCACATCTTTAGACAAACAATCCTTTCTATAATATGTTGGTGAAATGTATTGTCAAGGTGTTGCAGCTAAATTGCTCTGAAATATATCATAGCAGTTTTTGTGTTGTGCAGATAAGATATTGAAGGTGCCCCTTGATTTGGCATCTATTCTGTATCTCAGAGCTTGTGTGATTTCCACTCTTTACACGTTTTGTACGTATGATATACGCAGATTAGTTCTGCTCTCTTTTGGACATTTGACTCTATTAATTCAAATAACAGTTTTTAATTGATATGGAATACCTTCATTAACTTATAATATTATAAATCTTGGTACTTTCCCATTACCACTGTAGTTCTGTGTTTGCAGTCTTTCCCACATGGAACCTCATAGTTTCTTTTGTATTTGGGAAAATAATTTGTGTTTATTGTGAGTTATTGTTGATAACTTATGTTAGCTATCACATACAAAAGAATTTGAAATAATTGTGTGCAATCATCTGTGCCTTTGATTGTTCTGCTTCAGTTTAAAATATTGCTATCCTTTCGCAAGATATTCAGCTCTGTTCCACTGCTACAAATTAAAGACCATTGTAGGAACAGTTTCTCCTACAGAAATTTTTTTAAATCAGTAGTAATATACTCATCTGGAAGACCTGTTCTTGCACCCTAATTCTGAGTCAAAGCACATCTTTGTATGATTGTGTTCGATCCTGTGGTTGCTATTCAGGTGAATTGCCTAACGAACTGCCAGGTACAGTGGTGACTGCTTAGAACCCAGCCCCATACCTTCAAATAGGAGCAGCTTGAGTTGGCTTTGATGTCAGCAGATCCAGCATAGGGACTGTAATTTTGTTCAAAATACATAATTCACAAAATGTAAAAATGTTCTGCTGTTCTCACTGTATAAAGCAAAGCAGTAGTAATCCAACAGAAAGACAAAGGAGCTGTGGGATTGCTGAACTTGGAGTATTATGGCACTGCTTTCCCTTTTTTGTGCTTTTACAGTGATGCATTTCTGTCATCAGACTTGCACAACAACACTTCCACTCCTCTAACTTCTCACGTGGAATATGCTCTGGCTAAAACTTCCCAAGTTGCCTGGAAGTTCAGGCACATGCTTAGTTGTGGGAAGACCTTTCAGCAATGGTTCTGTGGGTAACAAAATTAGAGAAGGGAAAGTAGTGAGTAGAGGCTCATGGGCTGTCCAGGCACAGCATCACCCTGACTGCTGCCATGTGTACAGCAACACAAATGCCCATATGGGAGGGGAAAGCTGGTCAATCCATTTGTGTGAGAGAGCAATGGTAAAAAAAGACATGAAAGGTTAAAAAAGGGCGGTGAAATGGTGAAGAAGCTAAAAGCTGATATGTCTTTTCTCTCAGTGAAAACTGTGTTAATAGCAGATGTGTGAGAGAGAGAATGTTTATTATTATCATAAGCTGAGTTTTGCAGACCACATAACATACCTGCAGTACTTACTGGCTGAGCTTCCTGCTTTGTCATCTGTAATAATCTCTAGATGGTTAATTTATCCCCTTTTAGATTGAAATGCTTAAACTGGAATATCTTATACTACCCACCAAATAGATCATATTATTTTGTGCCAAGGCAGAAAATAAAGCAAGATTTTAAAAGTCTTATAGAGTTATGCTGTAATTAGTTTCAGCTTCCCCTGCATATTAATTTTCTCCTGTTCCTTTATATAATTTGGAAAATGTCTTCCAAACATGATGGCACGATCAGTTAAGTACCTCTCAGAACCATACACTAAACTGCATTTGCTCTAACAACTATTATAAAGCAGCCAGCAAAACAAATCCTCTGTTATTCTGTACAGTGCAGCTTATCAATGCAAACAGTTTAATATTTATGCTAAGAGGATTGTCACAAGTAGCTTCTGTTCCTTTAATTCTTGTTTTAAATAAATAATGAGAACATTTAAACACATTACGCTTCCCAGGGCCCTGAGGTCGGCTAATCTTATTATTTATGAAGTGATGTGCTACATAATAGTACTTAGTGCATGTTAACAGATGCTATTATCAGGGGCTGATGTGGAGAGCTGAAGATATATTGGAATGTTATGTGTTAATACTGTCCTTGTAGTGTAATGTACGATGGATTGAGTGCCCAGGATGCTGGTGTGGCAATTAACCACCCACCAACATGGGTGTAAAGCTGAAGTATGTTTTCTCATGGGGATTACACTGCTATTAATAATTCCCAAGAGAAGAAGACATCTTTCATTTGGCAACAGTCTCTTCCTGAAGGTTGGCAGTGTGGGCAAGGAAGTTGCATGTGTCAGTATTTTTCAAGTTCATTCTACAGAGATGAAAGACACACATATGTTTAAAACAACTTTTAAGTTCTTGCAATTATGTGCTTTACGGAACACAAACTTTAAAAAATGTCTTATAAGAGATAAAAGTGCATTTCTACATTTTGCTTGTTATCTCTTTAAAAAGCTATATAGGCCTGCAGTATATACCAAAATTATGGTAATGTTCAGCATTTTTGTTTGCCTTGCCCCATTGTGAACATTGTGATTAATAAGCAACATGCAAATTGCTTGAGGGGAAGGGAAAAGAGGGAGAGAAATCCACCTTGAAGTGTGACAGTTTTCTTGATGCAGCACGTTGCATTACAGTCTAATCTTTACAGATGTGATAGTTAACACTTATAAAACTTTCTTCTGCAGGCTGCAGTTCAGTTGAATATTATAATTAGACTTCACTAGTATTGATGAATAATCCATTTAATAAAAAACATTGTAATTTAAACATTTTCTCTGGGGACTAACATACACTAACCTCTTAATTTAATTTTATTGAAGTTTTGCCCACCTATTCATCACTGGAAGTTGTTATTAACCTCCATTTCCATTTATCTTTATAGAATTTTCTCTTTTTATATTGCCTTTTTCAGACCTAAGCAGGTTGATACACTTGTAAATCTCCAGAATCTACAAAGCTAGTCCGGCTTCTTTAATATTGTTTAATCTATCCCCCCTGACCTTAATGCAGTAAATTCAGTTTAATCTTTCTCAATAATCTAGTAATACATTGGAAACCGCCAAACATTTAAATCTGATAATGGTTTAATCACATACTTTAAATAACAGCTGAGATAATGAAAAAATAATTCACCATATAAAGGAACACTAACTGAGTTTTCTCTGTGATTGGCTTTTTGAGAAATCCCTGTAGAAAATACAAAGCCTACAACAGAAATCAACTTCACTGGAAATGAGCAATCCATTTGGTCAGAAGATGTCGTATTTCTTTTTTATTATCATCTTTCTCTTTAAATTAATGCACAAATGTATCCTCGCTGAGTATTCAGTTTCTGGATACAGTTTTACTTACGTAGTTCATCTGCTTACCTTTCTTTTCAGGTGCCAGTCAGATGCAGCAGAGAGCTTGCCAGAAGACCAGAAACCAGAATGTCATCCCTTCTGGACAGATGATGATGAATGTAATATGCCTCTGCCATATGATCTTGAAGAAGTAATTGCTTATCTACAAAATCTTACTCAATGGATAACAAGTGACCTTCCAGCCTAGAATTATTGATGCTCATCATTTGGGGAGAAGCTTTGTAGTTTAACATAAATCCTTTTCAGCTTTATGATTCCTTCATTACGTGTTGTTTTATATGTCAATGCAGATTTTACCAGTCATCACACAGTACCTTAGTTACTGTCTCATAATAAAAAAGACCAGCCCCCAAATTTACAGAAGCATGTGTTTTTTAAGACCTGAAGTCCGGAACACCAGCCTTAGTCCTGGTGCTCCTGTGCTCTGATTCCCATTGACCCTACAGCCCAGGGATATCCATGTTTCACAGAAGCACAGAATGGATCAGGTTGGAAGGGACCACAGTGGGATCATATGATCCAACCTCCGCGCTCAAGCTGGGTTGTTCTAGAGCACAAGACACAGGATTGCATCCAGACAGTTCTTGATTATCTCCAGTGAGGGAGATATTACCCTCTCTGGGCAATCTGTTGTTCCTCATATTGAGGTGGGACTTCCTGAGCATCAGTTCTGCCCATTGTCTCTTGTCCTGTATCTCGGCACCACCAAGCAGAGCCTGGTCCACCCTCTGACACCCTCCTCCAGATACTGGTAGACATTGATAATGTTCCTTCTCAGTCATCTCTTCTTGAGGTTGAACAGACCCAACTCCCTCAGCCAGTGTGTTTTCACAGGTTCCTTTGGTATCTATATTTCAGCTTCTGTGAGTGCCTACAACTGCCTCTGGTTTGACAGGTTTGAGCAATACAAGGTGTATCTCATACCTGTGGCAGACTTAATGATTTGGGCATCCTAATGAGAGGTGAGGTTGGGGTGAGCCTGCTGGAGATCTTCAAAACAGAGCTATGAATTCTTCATCCACTAACACGGAGGGGCAGGAGATGGTGGAGATAATCCTTTATGCAGTGGCTCCTTGTTAGACCATTTTTTCAGATGAGGAACTCTGGAGGAACATCCTAACATAGATCCCAAGACTTTCTTGCTGCTTTGCATCATAGCAGTTGAGTACTCCTGGGAGAGATTTCCAATGTGAATCTCTACCTCCTGGGCTCCCTGGAGCTCAGAATTCAGTTCCTAACCATTATTTTGTTTTTTACGTGTTGTGAATTCTGTTCTGAGGCCAGGTTTCCCAGTGCACTGCCTGAAGAGCTGATGGACCTAAATAAGGCTTTCAATTTGGGTTGTTGGGTTGATATTGGGCATTACAGCATCTAGTGAGATCTATGAGAACAAAACCAGAAGACTATGAGAAATGAAGCTGTTTGTGAACTGTTTTGTAGTAATGTGCTATAAAAAGAACAATTCTAGGTTGGATGATATATAGCACTGCTGAATGAGACAGAGAATTTTGATTTGGTTAAATTGCTATTTTAACTTGAACTGGTGTACAACTTTGCCACAAAAAGCAGAATAAAATCATTAAAGTGAAAAAGCACTCAGGCTCTATTACCACTACAAAAGAAGCCAGTAAGACTCAGAGCTTGATGTTGCCACCAAGAAATGAATATGCCTCCCATGTTAATCTTCTGTTTAAAGTCACTGCTGAGGCCAGGCTCACCCAGAGCATACCAGCATTCTGTACTGGCAAAGAGCTCTGTGTGCAGATGAGGCTTGTCCTGCTGAAAACTGTACGTTTGACAGTCTAACGTGTGCCAGACCTCCCTGGAGCTAAAGAAGCTGTGCCAGTAAAAATTCAGTTTTAGTGGTATGAAACTGTGTCCGCACCTACAAACTTTTGCCAGAACAATTATATCAAGTAGAGATTGTACCTCATAACACTTTTGGCATAGTTGTGGCAGCAAAACTGTAAAGACCTGAATCAAGTGTTTTCGTTGTAGTCCTGGGCTTCTGCAAAAACTGTTAGCCACCCTTTAGAATGTAAAGACTCTCTGAAGAATATATTATTATTTAAAGTAGATTTAATTATATTATTACCTTGATCCACACATTTATCTATTGTCTCTTGTGCCACAGATTTCATATCATTTGGAAATACTGTTATGGGCATAGCTTTTTCTTTCCTGCACTAGCTAAAGCTTGCTTTACCAGTGGGCAAATAGCATGTATTTGGATTAGTGCCACACTAAACACTGTTTGCTTTGGAGATCACTTAGGGAAAAGCTAGCTGAAGATGTGGGAATTCTGCTTTTGAAAAGGCAGTTCTTAGAAACAGATATTGCTTTGGAAATAAGCAATATGAATTCAAACAAGTTAATGATGTAACACCGTTAACACAGTGTTTGAGAGGACTGTTTATGCTGTTACTTTATGATTACTTTGTGTTTAATTAAGCACTGCTAACAACTGTGGGCATCACAGTATTGAAAGGAATCTGACCGCCACAAAGGGTGGACAAGGCACATTAATGTTGTAGTTTTTAGCTGAAGTGGAGGCATAGCTATTAAAAAATGATCAGCAAATAATTATTTCCAGCAGCAGTAGAAAAAAACCAAACCACTAATAGGAGACTGCTGGCAGTAATAATAGAATTTTTAAAAATACATGTTCACAGGTCTTGCCTATGCTTGAAGATTTAAGGTATTGAATTAGCTGAACTAGTACTAGTCTCAGTGCAGTCACATGGCACTCATTTAAGACATGGATGGCAATGACATAGAAAAATGAACACCTTTGTAATGAATAAAACCTAAGATTCACTGCCAAAATACCAATAATCAAGTGATTAAACAAGATTAATGCTCTGTATTGCATTCCAGTCTCACATCATCTAAATCAGTATAACTTGATTGAGTTCAGTTGAAATGCAGAAGTATGAGATTTCATATCTCCAAAGCTCACAGGAGTTGGTAGCAAAGACATGAATAAGGTTGATGGAACTATTTGAAGCACATAGTAATGCCAAAGGGTACCCCAAAAGAAGAACACAGTTGAAGGTAAAAAATTATGTAAAAAACCTGGGAGATCAAGTGTAAATTATCTCTGTGTTGGGATTATGTACTAGAAGCTGACAAATACTTTGAGGTTTTCTTTTTATTCAAATAGTTATAATCTAGCTTTATTAAAATAGTTATAATCTACTAATGATAGTTTAGCAATCCATTTATATTCTAGCTTTAGATGACACGTTTCCATTTTAGATGAGCTGGAAGACACAGACTCTAATGGATATTCAGTGTATAGCAACTGTTTGCCAAGCCTGGCTGCTCCAGAAGCATGAGGACCAAGGTCAAGTTTTTTCAAGGAAGAGGTGAGAGCATAAATTAACTTCTGACATTAAATTCAGTGATTCTTTTTAAATGGTGAAGTTCACGACTTTGCTTACATTTACTTTTCACCAGCCATAACTGAATTAAGGTAAAATAGTTCACTTGCACGTGTGCACCAGGCTAAATGGATTGCAGAAGATACAGATCTGTTTGCCTGTCTGCACTTGCCTTTAGACAATATTCATCAATTTTTAGAAAAGCTACTGACTAAACATGGAACCAATACAAATGAAATGCTCGAGGCAAGGGCTTTCTTTTAAAAATCTGATACAGAGTTGGTTTTACACTGATAGAAAGAAAATGTTGGCAGAAAATGAAAAACTTTTATTGTTTCTGTAATTTGGGGGATGAAAGATACAGACTGTTTCTAAGTATTTGATAGAAAACTGCTGTGTTATGCAATGTAATTAGAAATATTTTTATAATGCTTTGTTCATATCCTGTGTATGAAAATACTTTATCTCATAGGTCCTTTCTTCTGTTAAAAAGGTTATGTAGATAAATAATAATCTCAATACAGTAGATTTTAAAGGCATCATACTTATGTTCTAAGCTTTACAGCAGGTTCTGATTACACAAAGTATAAATTAAAGAATGCCAGGAATAATCACCAACTGGACACTGTGCAGGATGAGTAACATGCACCACAATAAATATCCAAATCAGTTCCTCAGTTGGGTGAAGCATACTGTTAATAATGCCAGGGTCACGGTCATTCATTTGCTTAAGTGTTGGACTCAGAGATCCTTGTGGGTCCCTTCCAACTCAGAATATTCTGTGACTCTGGATCTCCATCCAAATATGGTTTAGGTTCACTGGTAATGGTGCAAAATGCACTACAAAATCATGCTGGACTACATAATGCTGTGGGGCAGATTCAGGGATTCCTTTGACATAATAGGGAATAAAGAAATTAAAAGATTACTAAAATCCATCATGAAAGGTGACTAAAATATTGTAGAGTTTAGGAATGGACATTGCTCCTTTCTCAGTTGTTGCAGTGCTGTTCCATTAATCCTCTGCCATGCAGTAAAGTTTGGGCTATTGTAATAGATATTAAACTAGGCCAGGAGCTGGTGTCTAAGCTGGGGTGAGAGGAGGGGAAGAGAGACGAGATGCACATGAGACCCAAGGGATGTGCTTTCTCAAGGCCACAACTTTATTAACTGAACTCATATGGGAGTCATTGAGCTGTAACTTGTACAGTGCAGGTCAGGATCCCTCCCTTAATTGTTGCCACCTGGTGCAAAGTTAATGTTGGCTCCTTAAACCCCTTCCTGCCCCTGACAGCTGGTCCTCAGCTTTTTGCTAGGAGCTGACCACTCTCTGCTCACACCAAGGTTACAGAGTTGGTAAGAGTGGTTGTTCCACTGTAGCAACAGGTGTGAGAAACTCTCATCCCCAGCTTTGTCCTCCACCTCTGTCCTACTGCCCCTCCATGGACTCCACTCAACATCTGTTTCCCTTTTGAGATTCAGGTTGCTGCAGCTCATCTTCTTACCTATCCCACCAGGATGGTGAGCTGCCATGGGGAGGAGTCAGACAAGGAGGATACTGTTTGCAGTGAGGTTCCTCATCCCAAAAAAGACACCCTCTGCACTCCCCACAAGAGAATGAAAATCTCAGCACTACACTAACCTGGCATTAGAGGAGGGGAGCTGCTGGGGAGTGATGAAGGACTCTGGCTGAACCACCAACACTGGTGTTTTGGAGGACTCCCAATCTGTCTGATTCTGGCTGTCACCTCACCCCACCTGTAGAGGCAGAGGCAATCCTGAATAGGACCACTGTTCTCTTTCCTGTCCAAACTGACTCTTCCCCTTCAATGTGGCTGGGCTTGCATCTTCATTTACATTCATCTATCCTCTTCATCTTAGCCTAAGGGCATTCATTGAACAGGAGAAGATAATTTATACAGTTGTAAAGAGACTGTACGTAGAAAGGCTGCAGAACTGGCTGAATAACATGTAAAAGCCAAGAAATAACTGATAAAATTATCACATTAAAATGCTGATATTTGGGCATGAGCACTTCACATATGTCATGAAAACTATGGTTTATCTCCTTATTGCTTTGGAGATATTCATAATCCAAAAGGATGTATTATACTGTGGTTTACATCCCCTAAATCTCCACTGGTTTTAGAGGGCTTGTCCATGATGACTAAGAATTTGGTCACAAAAGTTGTTCTCCTCCCCCTCTCTATCATCGAATATTTGCTTTCATGCCAACACATCTTGATCTGATTAGTCCCCTTGATTACAGACTAAAGTAAAAAGTCAGGTGTATAGGATTCCCATTATCCTTTATTTTGCTGCTTCTAAGAACAGGTCAGATAGAGTTATTTCAGTGAAAATGTGAACAATCAACTTCTGTTTACCATTAACCTTCAGTTTTCTTTTCTTAAAATCAAATCAGGGCTTGGTAGGCAGTTATTTTCATACATGTCCCTTGATCAGTGGAACAATCTGTCAAAGGCCATTAAAGCCTTTATTAGGTTGAATTGCATTCAAAGTTAAGCTATCCAATCATTTGAAGGGCTATGATGATTGTTTTTAATATAGTATACATTGATTTCTCTGTCTGAGTAGAAATGTAACTTTGAAACTAAGCATGTATGACTAGGGCATTTTGCTATCTGGCATGTCCTGAGAAGCTTTGTTTCTTGTGGAAGAGGAATGTCTACATAAAAAAAGGAAAAACAAATGCAGTGAAATCACCTGTACGTTCTCACAAGCCTTTCATTTTTCCTAGTTCATTGTAACCCTCACGGTATAACATATGTGGAGTGGGAGGAAATTTTCCAAGGCCCTTTGCTCAAAATCTTCACTGAAAAATTTTGACATCTCGTTGTAGTATTTTAGAAGCGATTCTGTATCTTAAGATCTCAGGATTCTTTACACAGGGAAACTGAGGCAGAGGTCAAAAGTGCAGCAGGGATCTGACTGCTAGCACTGGAACTGGGGGTTGTGTAACCCTCCATCAGTGGTATATCCCCATCACTTCCAGTTAACCAGCTAAGTTTACAGATTAAAGATGCTCTCATAGAACTTGTTGTCCTCCAAAGTTATATCTGTAAGTGGAGCTTTAATCTGACCTACTCACGTCATATTTAGCACAATATTTATTTGCATAAGACATGATAATGCATCTCATGTAATAGAGATCTTTTGTGCCTCCGAAGGTTTGATTAAACTTTCCAGTGAGTCTTTTAGTTACATTCGAGGTCCCTGAGCTCTCAGTGGAAAAGGTAAGTTTTATTGGAACTATTAAATTATTCCATGGAGACTATGCAGTATATAATACAATATAATACAGTCCACACTCTTTTACCTCTGTTTAAAGTATGGCCACTGCATGCCCTCAAGGGGGTATAACTGCTGTACTAGGAAACTCTTAAGAAAATGCCCTGTGGGTATTTGTGCTATTTACTAAGGTGAAGATGAGTTGCTGGAACAAACTGGAATGTTGGTTATGCACCTATTAGCACTTTAGTCTGGTACCTATTTGGTAGTCTGGTAGTACTTTACTGAGAGCACTACTTTACTAGTTATTTTGATGAACATCCTAATAGTGTATTACCCAAACATTATCAAAGGATTCCACATTTCTTTCATTGCTGTTCTTTCTCTTCTGTCAACTAATGGCCCTCCTTTCCCTTTTGTCTCAGTATTAACAGTAATGTTATTAATAAGTTTTGTTCTTTTTTAGACTGACATGACTTTAAAGTGAGAAAACTTTAGAATTATATATCAGATAGCAATCTCTGAAGTACATTTATTTTCAAACCAATTTATTAGGATTTTATTTTGCTCCTTTTTTGTTTAGTACTTCCACATGTAATTTTTATTAAGGACTATTTATATAATTATGCAAGATATATGGTGAGAATATAAGTTTGTGTTATGTATTTACTGATTTACTGACATTTATCAAATAAACCAGTTAAATAATCTGTGTCTATCATTTGCCCTATAGAGTGTGTTAGGTCTTGTCTTCAATCCCTCATTGTTGCAGTGCGTGGAAGAAAAGTATATTTTTCCCACCATCTAACTTCGGGTGCCTATGTGAGAAAATTGTTTTCTCTAAGCTTCCTATATGCCAAATAGTGAGAGAGAAGCTTCTTCAAAGCAGCAAACTCGAAGATGCTCTGAGTCTACTCTTCAGTGACGCATTTCTAACTACTTGAACAGTGTGGCAAGTCCAAGTTAAGTGCAAAGTTATCCACATCTGCTTATGCTGGCAATTTAATAATGGTAAATAGATAAAATAGACAGTGAAGAATTTGTCTTTATTCTTTGAATTGATAGAATCAAATTCTGGTTGTATTGCAAATCTTCTAGTAAGAAAGGCAGATTAATTTTTGTTACTTTGATTAGAGTCAGACCATAAATGAATATAACTGACTTCTACCCCCTGTAATACTATTTACTTCAGCAAATATTTAAGGCTCTACTAGGTTGAGAACATATTCTTCTGGCTGTGCAACCTCACACTTCCCACGTCTGACACAAACTCTTATTTGGTGTGAGTAGTAGGAACTCAGTGCCTGCCAGCTCTGCATCAACCTGTTTGAGTGTATAAACTGTTCCATGTTTGTTGCTGTAGAGTTTGCAATTTAAAACATGCAGTCATGTTAAACAAGGCAATATCAGAGAAATGTCTCTTGCACATAGACTAAAAGGTAGTGAGATTTGTGATGTTTGTTGTTTCTAGGGAGCTTCATTTCACAGATTTACCTACCACCCACATCAGATTTTGTGGAGGGTTGTACTGCATCAAAGGAACAGTTGTCATTAGTTGTCTCCATCCCAGGGCTGTGGAAAGCTAAGTCCATGCTATCCCAGATTCAGGTTGCATAACAAGGCAAGGATTGAAACAGCAAATTTCCTTTGATACTCTGAAGAGAGCCATTGTGGAGAACAGCAGGATGATTTGATGTGCACATGCCCGTGTGGCTGAGATGCACTGCAGTGTTCTGTATTACTTGGAGTTCCCTTAAGGCCAAAGACTGTGTGCCCAAATTGTTCTGCATTACTAGATTCCGGCCAAGAGGTGATGAAAGTGTGAATAATATTGGCCAGGATGGAATGGAGTCTCCAAGCAAAAAAGTTGACAGAGAGCATTATTCACAGACACTCCAACTTAGAGTCAGCAAGGCATCCAAGAGGTAAGAAATTTGATTTCTTAGCCTAGAACATTCTTTCCTTGGCTTTAGAAAAGATTTAATTGACTTAAGTAAAAGTCAGGCAACTGGATGGAGACCCATTTGCAAAACCAGTGTGATTCTGAAACATTCCTTACAATCCATTGCGATATATAGTATATGTATCTAGAAAGACCAAGATGAGTGTCCCTGGGATCTACAGTGCCTTAAACAGTTCCTTTTTTTTCTGGTTGTCTCAGAGCATATTTTCCTTTTCCTTAACTTTTCATAAAAATGGGTAAAACATAAAAAGGCGGTAGTGACCTTTCAAAAAAAAAGATGCAACAAAGGGGCCTTTGCTGGGGGGACACAAGCACAAGGAGACTCAAGAACAGGCATCTTCTGAGGGGGTTGAGAAGCTCTTCCGGTCTCTGCACTCAAAAGCAGCTTGTCTTAAATGAGACAGAGATTAATAAGGATTCATTGTTTGTTGAATTTTGATTTTTACCCCAATTCCATTCTTTCTATAGGAAATCGGTCAGGAGAAACTAAATTCTCTTTGACGAGACAGACTCGTAGTTGTCTTTTCACCATAAAGGCTCTTGCACCTTGTTACACACACTTATCACCCTGCAAATCAGAGTTCCGTATATACACCCTGCTGTAGCTAAAAGGTATTCTTTCCTTTCTGTGATGAGACTTCATTTCTGATCTGAAAGGTCTCGAGCTATATTGCTGAAGTTGCAGGTGTGCAGTTTATCTGTCAGCCGGTGTCTTTATTTTGTGGTCATGCACTCATAACTCCAAGTGTTTTTTGCTAAACATTTTTAAAAGTGTTGGGTTTTTTTATTCCAACATCATCCGTATTTAAGAACCATCATCTCAAAACAGAAGAATCACACTGAGTTTGTAAATAGGCAAAAAAAGAAGTAAAGAAAATTTTTATCACTCTGAATAATTGCTTTTTCAGGGAGTCCAGACTATGATTATAGAATTTGTAGCTGAGTGATATCTACTAAAAATACCATACATGCAAATTTTCATCTTATGTGTATGATACTCCCTTTGCACACTTATATTTCAGCAGGTATGTGTGAAACTTGCTGCATAAATATCACTAAGATTTTGGAACTAATGGCACTTCATAAATTAGATTTCTGTTACTATCCTATTCCTGGTTGCATGTTAATTATTAGGGTGAAAATAAAGGGCACTCTTTTATAAACCTTCATATTTTCTGTTTACAAGGATTTTACGAACATCCAATAAATTTAATGACCTCTAACAACAAGAGGAAGTTAAATCCTACTTAGCAAATTCATAGCTTTTCAGTGTATCTGCGGCTTTATGGTATGTCAAACTGTAGGAATGTAAAAGTGGTTTCAGGAGCTGTTGCTGGGTTCAACGGGCTGCAGAAACTTTTAAGTTATTTTTGTTTCTCCTTTATTGCTTAACCTCTGGGGCCCAACGCTGGGCTACTTGATAAAGCAGTCATTCAGGAATTTTAAACCGTACAAGCTTTGACTTGATAGACATAGAACAAGGTCTTGTATTAAACATACATTTTAAAAACATAATTTCAAATCTGGAAATTGATTGTGGTTTGACTTACCTATATTGAAGAGCTCACTGTTCCTTACTTTCTTTGCTTTGCTGATATTATTAGATCTATTGTTCTTTTACCAGAACTCCCAGCTGATAGAAGAAAAATCAATGTAGAGCAAAGCTTACTGGGCAACAGCACTTTCATTACAGTCAGAGCCACAAATGACTAACTAAGTTATCACATTTCTACTTTTAAAGGCTTATATTATGCATCTTCTGATATTCTCAGAGGGCCAAAGTCAAACATACATGAAGCAAGCTGGGAACAGAGCAGTCTTTTAAAAAAATTCAATGTAACACACTGATTTTTAGTATATGCCAATATAAGAATTATAAATCACAGGGAATTACTTTCCAATGCTGTTTTTTAAACAAAGCATACATCCAAAGTTATGCTTCCCGGGATTTATTTATCTGCATAACCTTGCGAGCTCTCATTTCAGTCAGCTGTTGGTCATACTGATCTCTCAGCTGCCTGTTGCAGTGTGGATTTGGCACTTGCCTGATGCAAGCAGGAAGCAAAGGGATCTCTGAGGATGCATCTCTTCTAGACCCCATCGCTTGAGCTAGCTCATCTTGGATTGAGGATGCTCAGAGGTCTGTAGTTCAAACACGCATCTGCCCAGCTAATGGGGTCAGAACATCTTCTTCCAATAATGGATTGGTTCTCTCTAGGGTGAAGTGCCTCTAAGAGAAATTGAGAGGATCCTTAAATAAGATTTGATGCAGCCCGGGAGAATGACAATTACATCTTTTGCTAACACCATTCCTAAGGCAAAGTCATGCTTTGTAGGAAACAGGATGATGGAGTACTCAGGGAGGTTTTTTCAGTGTAGTGACTAGTAGATAGGTCCATGGTACAGAAAAGTTTTGTGAGAAAGAAAATGAAACTCACATAAATGGCTCTTCTGTTGGAGACAGTGAGAAGTGTCCCTCTGTGGGTTACTTTGGTAAAGTCTGGGTTATTTTCTTCATGGACTGAGTGCAGCTGGTGATGGCAACAGGTATTTTTATCCAACAGATAAAAAACACAAGAGCCACTCCTGTGGTTGAAGTCCAGGGAACCAGCTGAGATGGACAGTAAAAGAGGCACTCAGAAGAGGCTGCCTCAGTCAAGTTAGAGCTGCAATTTGAATTCACAGCTGAGTAGTCCTTTGCTGAGTCTTAACATGTCCCATGGCGTGTCTCAGCCAAGAGGCTGGGAGAGGGCTGGGCAGGGGTGAGTTTATTAGACACAGTGGGCTGTGCCTATGCCTGAACTTTCTCACTCCAAAGGTATTATTTCCCCACACTGTGCAGGACTATGCACACTGTAGCGGCAAACCTGCCTCACAGTCACCAGCACAGGGAGAACAGCATGGCTGGGCAGCAGCCCTCCATGGCAGGGAAGGGAGATCCCAGCAGTTAGAGAGCATTAGAGCCACCACTGAGTTTGTGTGTCTGAACAAAAGCAGGGTGGATTTGCTTGCCCCTCTGATTCCCAGAAAGTCCAAGGCATCCTGGTATTTTCACCCATTATTCTTGAATTCAAATCCTAATTTCCATGGTAGGTCTGTGACTGAAATATAAATTGGAGGTGTGGGCAGTAGCTGAGACCTTGCCTGTCTCTGACCACTTAATTCCCAATTTTGTAATTCCACAGCCTTCTGCACATGTCAGTTTTACATGCAAGATGTAGCAGTAGGCTCTCCAGTCATTGCTCCTAGCTTAACTGATGTCAGTCATTTTGGATACCCAGGACACTTGCATAATACTGCTGGCCCAGACTCCTACATCAGCACTAGCTTGTCAGAAGTTCAAGTAGCAAAGTGGCACCAGAGCCCCTCTGGAAACGTGGCTGCAGCCCCCTGGTCTCACCTTCCTGCTGGGGACACAGCACAGTCCTCCCTCTTACTCTCCCTGTCTCTCTCCCTGGTTTTTCATGTGTACTGACATTCACTGATGGCCTCGGCTCTGTAGTGAGGGTCCCCTTCCTTGAAGAAGCGTAACTCAGTGGTGGTGATGAGGCATTGGCACAGGTTGTCCAGAGAAGCTTTGAATGTCCCATCCCTGGAAGTGCTCGAGGCCAACTTGAGTGGGGCCCTGAGCAACCCGGTCTAGTGGAAGATGTCCCTGCTTGATGCAGGGGGGTGTGAACTGGATGATCTGTGAAGTTCCTTCCATTCTGTGATTCTGGGACTCAGCTGCATGCTGTTTGTGCTC